TCCTATGTTTTATGCTTAGTTGGCTAGCAAGATTCCTAAATGCTTGAACTGCTGTTTCCTCTCTGTCATCTGCAAGTAAACCTTAGCTTGAATTCATTTCATGAATAGTACTCATCTCTGAGATTGGAAATGTTCACTAGAAGCATGACTGCAAAGGAATCCCTGGCCTATTTTACACAACAAACACAAAGCTATGGATCCCACTCTATGCAAGCTATCTGCTGTCTTTATAATAGATCTTCCCACCTAAACGCAAGGAGCAGCTGCTAGCCTCATTGTGGATCTTTGCCATTTCAAATCCACAGGCAGTTCTGTGATTCCCTGGAATAAGCATCTTCCTAGCTGGAGAGGGTCTTCACACTTAGCGAAAAGATCTCCAAAAGATTATTTTTTTAAAGCTGTAGGAAACTCCTCCATTTATTTTGAATTCTCAGGATTAGGAGAAGCAATTTCAATCATTAAAAGAGTCCTCAGCTGCCTCTTTACTCTTAGCTGCCCAGACTATAAGATATAGAAACAAGTTAATTATCAGCTACATTAGTAACAACAATGCACAGTGAGCCTGTTCACGTAACAACTTTTTTCCTGAACCATGAAAACCATGCTGAAAACACTTTGAGAGAGACTATCAAGGTACATGAATCCAAAATCTGATTTTTTCTTAAATATATTTAGAAACACCTCGACATACTTTAATTCCGCAAACATGTTTTCCCTGCATGAAGCCAGTCAATCAGTGCCAGCATCCAGTCATGTACCTGCTTAACTTAACATAGGTGTAGTCACTATGTCTCCTCACATAAGTAAAGAAAAAGAGGTGCATAAGAATTTACACAATAAAAATCTAAAACGAGAAATGTGTATGAGCATCTGTGGTGTGAAGGAAACAAACAGTTCTACAAAGAAACCAAAGTGAGTTTCAAGCTACTAATACTACATACAACGGCCAGATTCTCAGCCTCCATAGGTTGAAGTAAAGGGGATTTAAATCTGCCTTAATCTGGCTATTCATCTGGCATGCAGGAACCCGCACCGGCTGCAGCACTAGTATAGCAGTATAGTATAGTTCTATACTACCCCTACCACCCACTTGCTTAGAGATAATGTACCAGAGCCCAAGATCTGGCAGAATATAGATAGCTCACCTAGACTTCCCCCTAAAGCATCTTGAGTTCTCCTCTGGCACTATTGACGATCTGGTGTATTGACTTTATATAACATCTTACACCCTGCAGCACTCCGAAGTGCTTCACAAACTTTGCCAGCTGGTACACAAAAACTTTAGAGACTGAAGTGCCTAGCAGCACTGCAGTGAAGCTGATTCATAGAGCCTGTTCAACAGAGCCTGGCAATACCACATAACAGTTTGCAGCTAAAAGTAGAAAAGAACACTTGACGTAATCAAAACTGCAAAGAGCATTTGGACAGAGCAGAGTATATATACACCTGAGATGGGGATTTAGCCAAGACTCCTAAACCTTGTAAGGGATTATTGAGTAAAATACTTTGCAGTGTCCCTTTAAACTAATAAAAGTTATAAAACTGAAAGATTTTCAGCTACTGTACAGTAAAGGAATTATAAAATGTTGCTTTTTTCAGTATTAATTAACCATCTGTGAAAGCACTAGAGACCAGACACCTGCTCCTTTCCTGCACACTTTCATGCACAGTATATATACCCAGAAAGCAAGAAGCTGTTGAGTCAAGTACCCCAGCATCCTGCTGCATTAATATATGCAATCACTGCTTACCAAGGAGGGAAAGGGGAATTCCAATAAACCATTTTCCCTTTCTGTCAACCTGTTGCTGTGAGGAGGAGAACCTCAACACAAACCAGTTCTCATGACCTCTCCACTCCATCCATGGTAGGTTTGCTCTCATGATTTTGGAATCTGTTTTCATTGGAAGCAATACGTAGGTCTACAGATCCTACTACCTCTTGTTTGCCTATTTGTGTTCTAATTGTTTAACCTAGCCTCCAGGTGTATGGATTTACGAAATGAAATAAGGCTGAAAGAGTCCAAGTAGCATGGGAAATGTGTCAAGCATAATGATCTCTTCCACACTGGCATGAATGTGGGAAACATGGACTGGTCCCAAGAAGTAGCATTTCTGACCCAAAAGGGGAGGTGCTTGGATGCATCACTTGCATTGTGCATGATCTGAATAGTCATCCATGTCCACATCAGAATCAAAGAGAGAGTGTCCAGTGTAATCCGTGTCAGGTGTTTGGGAAATACTGTTCTCTGTCCCCTCCTCATCAAATGTTTCTGTCCTTGAATAAAAGCTGAAGTCCTGAAACGGAGTGTGACTCTTGCTAGCTTCACTACTTCCCTCAGATTCGTACAAGGTGTTATCATCGTCTTGGTGCCACTCTGGCCAGAATTTCCTTCTTATCCTTTCACAGTACATAGCAAGGTTAATCAGTTCACCTGCAACATGGTAAAATAAGCCAGGGTAAATACACCTGATCATTCAAACTGTGACTATGTTCCATGCAAAGATAATTCACGGGAGCTGTTTTAAAAGAAATATTCCTGGCTTGTTTCCAGGGAGATATTAAAGACCTTTTCCCAAAAGGCTAAGAGATGATCAAACATACTAATATATTGTTTACAAGTTCAGTATAATACAAAGTGCAAAGGGTGATAAGCATGGTCAAAATGAAAGAGTTATGTAGGAGTATAGTCCTAAAGTTAAGCAGTTAGAATTCATTTTCATGAATGTGGCTCAGAAGAAAATGATTACTGTTTTATAAATCTGTCACCAAAAAAACTGTTACGCATTTTGTACAAATCTGGCATCAAAAAACAGAATTTGGCCATACATATTCTATGTCTTTATTAAAAGAATGCAATGCAGTTGCAGGTAAATTTTGGTTTTGGACCACAAGATGGCAGTACTGTTTGCAAGATAAATTTGACATTCATCACCAGCACACACGATTTTTTTATGGTCACCTAATTTCCCTTAGAAATTAGGGATGGAAGGATGGAATGAAAGTATTTTTCTTATGTATTTATGAAGATATTATAAAAATGTCAGTTAAGGACAAAACACAACAGGGCATCAAGGGAAAAACTATATTGTGTGCTATATTTCGTAGCATGAGAAGCTCTCTGGTTGGGTGAGTCACATCGGAAAGAATTGTAGGGGATGGGAGTATCCATTTGGTTATTTTGATAGAGCAATTGGCTTTTCAATCTATATAAAGTTAATGCTTGAAATTCAAGGATCCCCTAAGATTTTGCCTGAGATCCTTCAGAGACCACAGTCATAGAAGAGAAGAATGTAACAACAACAATAAATAATACTACCTGGCTCTTATATACCAGTGTTTTTCATCAATAGATCTCAATGGCTAAGTCTAGACTGGCATGATTTTCCTCAAATGCTTTTAACGGAAGAGTTTTTCTGTTAAAAGCATTTGTGGAAAAGAACGTCTAGATTGGCATGGACGCTTTTGCGCAAAAGCACTTTTTGCAGAAAAGCGTCCGTGCCAACCTAGACGCGGTTTTGCGCAAGAAAGCCCTGATTGCCATTTTCACCATCGGGGCTTTTTTGCGCAAAACGGTTCTCAGTTGTCTACACTGGCCCTCTTACACAAAAGCATTTGCGCAAGAGGGCTTTTTCCCGAATGGGAGAGTCATTGTATTTGCGCAAGAACATGGACGATCGTACATTAGATCGTCAGTGTTCTTGTGCAAATTCAAGTGGCCAGTGTAGACAGCTGGCAAGTTTTTCCGCAAAAGCAACTGCTTTTGTGGAAAAACTTACTACTTTTGCAAAAAAAATTGCCAGTCTAGACGCAGCCAGTATGTTTAATACTCCAAATTTGATTCTGTTCCTCCAAATTTGTTATTACAGTATTTAGCCCTTATACAGGACCAGATGCTATCCTTCTTCTATTATAGAGTACATCTACACAGCAACATTATTTCGAAATAACTAGCGTTATTTCAAAATAACTTAGTCCACATCTACAGAGCAGTTATTTTTAGATAATGTCAAAATACTATCAAGCTGGAGGACTTACTCCGAATCCTGTAACCCTCATTGTACGAGCAGTATGGGAAGTTGGAGGAAGAGTGCTCTATTTTGAAATAAGTGCTGTGTAGATGCTCCCAATTTCGAAATAAGTTATGTAATTGACATAGCTCAATTTGCGTAGCTTATTTCAACCTGCTGTGTAGACGCACTCAAAACTACTTCCTGGCACACTCCTCCTTACAGTCTATCATTTTTTTTAATATGCAGTTTTGCTCTGAAAATTGAAGATGTAAAATGGATCAGGGAACTTAGGGGCTTTTATATTTTTCATGTGTCTATGACTCCAGATCAAATGTAGACTCCAGACTCATCTTGCCAATAAAAGGGTGGGGGGGTTTTCTAATTGCTAGTTCTGCAAAATTACTCTAAATCCAAAAATCAGCATGGGTTCCTTTCTCTTCCTATATCTGCAGCAGTCACAAAGGTTCTGGGATTTCACTGGGGCTACTTGCAGAGTATGATACTATTCAGTGTAAGCAACAGAAGCAGAACCTGGCCCATCATGATTTCATCATTGAACACTCTGAAAACATTCATTCATTAATAGAGCAAAGGCCAAAATTCTTTAAACAGAGTGCTGTAGAGTAACCTACCAAGTACAGCACTAGGAGCAACTAGTGTGAAGAATATAATGAGGAAAAATGAAGGCAGCTTTGAATAGAAAGACAATATTACAGAGTACATCAAAGGACAAGCCCTCTAGTTGAGCTTCTAGGGCTCATTCTGCATATTATAATGAGATCTCCTTGAAAGCCTAGGACTACAAGCAGAAACTACTACCAAAAAAGAGCTGTCCAAATCTCTACGATTGTCTTACCTTTGATTAGTCTCTCAGGTCTAGTCCCTGGTAATGTCCACATTGCTTGAGCTAGGTGCCCAAAGACAGTGGCATCAAGAGTAGAAAGCTTTGGTCCCATGATATACTTCTTGTCACCTGTAAATGGTAAAATGGTGACCAGTTGTAGACCAGCAGGCACCTCCCCCAACTATAAAATGGATTGCATCTTTTTAACACGCATCTCACTGAAACAATGTAACTGGAAACTGGCATGTTCCCCAAAAATATCAAATACTGGAATCTATGCATGTGGGTCAAATTCTGGCTTAGGCACAGAGAAGGTTCCCAGGAACAGACTCCATTACTGCAATGTAATCCTGTGGAACTCAATTGGCTAACTGATCTATACTGTTACAGAATCACCAGCCCTTCCTGTACCCCTTCTTTCTGCTACTCCCTATGCACTGAGTTGGTTTTGCTGCATTCAGGGCTTTCCATGCTATCAGTAGTGGTTGAATGTATGAGTTTCTCTTTTCAGGGAAAAATCAAAGCTGACCCATGATTAACGTCTTTGCTAAAAGGAGCTGGCAGCCCAGTGTCCTGCACTAGTCTTTTACTAGTGGAGATCTGGTTTCAGGCCTTTCCTCAGATTGCAAGTGAAAATGAGAGTGGTGACTTCAGTTAAAGGATTTACTTAATATCGGTTCAAATCCAAACTGTCACCCTATTCAGTATAATTGGTAACTACTGCTCAGAAGAGGCCTAGTGCTGGAATAGCCAACTATGTTGCAATTCCAGACTAGTGTGTGCCCCTGAATGGGAACAAAAACAGTGCAATGGGTGATTCTGGGTACAAGTCTTCAGAGTCCCATAATGCCCAGAGTCCCCAGAGTCAATCTCTTCCTCCCTCCCTGCTTGAAAGCAATGACAAACAATCTTTTTTGCACCCTTTTGTCTCTGGCTATCCATTCTGTGCAAGCATGGATCCTGTTCTGCTGAAAAGAGCTATGGTAATCATTGCAAACACCTCATGTCTTATGTCATATGTCCAGGGCCTAGCCTAGAGCCCTGGGAGCGAGGAAGAATGTGAAGAGGCCACAAATACACACGTGTATGAAATCTCTAAGTGGAGCACTTGGCAGATGCTGGTGGCAATTGATTCTTTTGGCACAGTCGTATACTGGTGCCATGAGACAAGCACAGATTGGTGGGATCACATAGTTATGTAGCTACGGGATGATCACCAGTGGCTGCAAAACTTTTGCATGCGTAAGGCCACTTTCATGGAACTTTCCAAACTGCTTGCCCCCACCCCCGAAGTGCAGCAATACCAGAAAGAGACCCGCTTTCTGGGGGCAATTTCCCTGTGGAAGCTGGTAACACCAGACAGCTACCAGTCAGCTGGGAATCAATCTGGAGTGGGTAAACTGCCGTGGGGTGGGGACTGCTGTGACCCAACTAGCCAGGCAATCAATACCCTTCTCCTATGAAGGATAGTGACTTTGGGAAACACACAGGACATAGCAGAGGGCTTTGCTGCAATGTGGGTTCCCTAACTGTGGTGGGGCAATAGATGGAACACACATCTCTAACGTGGCACCTTTCAAGAGAATACATAAACCGCAAAAGGTACTTCTCAATGGCATTGCAGGCACTGCTGGATCACAAGGGCCATTTCTTCAACATCAAGGTGGGATGGTTGGGAAAGGTACATGATGCGCACATCTTTAGGAACTCCGGTCTCTTCAAGAAGCTGTAAGATGGAACTTTCTTCCCAAACAGGAAAATTGCCATCGGAGATGTTGAAATGCCAATAGTGATCCTTGAAGACCCAATCTACTCCTTGCTCCCGTAGCTCGGGAAGCCCTACACGGGCAGTCTGGACTGCAGTAAGGAGCAGTTAAACTACCAGCTGAACAAGTGCAGAATGGTGGTAGAATGTGCCTTTGGATGTTTAAAGGGAAAGTTTCTCAGTTTACTGACTATGTTTAACCTCAGCAAGAGCAACATTCCCATTGTTGCAGCACTCTGCTGTGTGCTCCATACTATCTGTGGCAGTGAGGGGGAAAATTTTAGGCTGGGGGGTGGGGAAGTCGAGGCAGATCACCTAGCTTCTAATTATGTGCAGCCAGACTCCATGGAAGTAAAGAGAGCACATCAAGGGGCAATGCAAATTAGAGAGGTTTTGGAAAAAAGCGTTGTGAATGACCAGACAATGTATGTTGCTCTTAATGAAGTGCCCCCTGCATTAAGTGTGCTGGCCAGTAAACCTTATAAAGTCCCCCTCCCCCCACCTCTGTTCAACACAAGCAATAAAGATACTGTGGTTGAGAAAAATATGCATCTTTACTGAGGCAACACAAGGAAGCAGAGACAGAAAAGGAGTACGGGGGAGCTTTGGGAGGAAGGGGGGAACAAGTGCAAGCAGCATACTACAGTCCCCCTGTCCAGCAATCATTGGTGTAGGAATGACAGCCTTCTATTTTGGAAGACATCCCTGGGAGTTGAGTGGAAGGCTGCCTTTGTCTCCCCCTCTCTCCCCCCGACATACACATACGTCCTAGGTGGCTGGGAGGGGACACTATGGAACTTGGTGAGGAGGACATTTGATTCAGCATGTATTGGACAGGGGCTCTGTGCTCTATCTGCTTCTTCTGTACCTCCAGCAGGCAGCTAAGCAGCTCTGTTTGCTGCCACACAAGATCTCTTCCTGTGTTTTGAATTCATGTTCCTTGCATGCTTTCCTCACCGCATGCACCATCATTCTCCTCCACGCATTTAACTGCACCCTATCCATGCAGATGGATTGCATTTGCTCATTGAACATGTCATCCCTATTATGTTTTTGCCTTCGGATCTGTGCTAGCCAAACAGCTGCAGGAGCTGGGAGAAGTGGCCACACGCTCACTGTTGCACTCGCCGTACCAAAAAAGCGATGGGCAAACTTTAGAGGAGATACACTGTAGAACACAGAAGCTAATCTCTTAGCATAAAAGAACATCTGTCCAACACAATAGGCATGTGTTATGTTCAAGGCTAAAGTTATGTTTTTAAGTGCCCACTATGCAGCAGGTACAGCACAGAGATCTTAAGGAAACAGCTGGACTCGACTTGATAGCAGGCAGAGTGTGGAACAGGTTGGAGTTCACTCGTTTGCATCTGCTTTGAAAGCATGTGCAACACAGTGGCTGCAAATAGCAACTCCTGCAGCTAGGCAACCATCTGCATTTGCAAAGGGGAGCCATGGTGACAAGGCAGGGGCTCACATGGTCACTGGGGAGTCTGCAGGAGGGAGGGGGTGTACTGCCTCAGTGGTACCAGTTACAAAGCTTCTCCTGCTTCATCCAGGTTGCCATGTTTGATGTCAGTCTTCTCCGAAATCATACCAAGTGATAAGCAATGGATGCTGACTAAATGTGGCCATAAACCTGGACCTTATGCTGCAATGCTTGGTGCTGCAATGATGCCAGCTCATCTACTGCTGGCTTGGCATGGAAAGGTCCTAACGTGGAGGATGGAAGAAGGCCGGCCTCCCCAGAAATCCTGTGAGATGGATGAAAGAGTACCTCTACGAGACCTTCATAGAGATGTGCAGGGAGGATTCCCACTCCATTTCCAGACACGTTAACAAACTATTGCAGGGAGGGCAGAATGGCCGCCACAGATCTCACCCAACTGCCTTAACCCACTTGTAACATGATGAAAAATGTCAACTCACCAGAAGTGCCCTCCCAGACATCAGGGCCCAGCAGCCAGCTGTCCCAGGAGGAGGGGATTGTCTCCAAAGATATAAAAAGGTTCTGGCTGTCGGTGAGATCAGATTCTCCACTTGCCTGCTGACCATTCTCCTTTTCCTCTTCCTCATCTACACTATCCTCCCTGCTGTTGCCTGAGGCTACCTGAAGAATCTCTTTGAAGGTATCTTGCACCTAAGCATCCTAAAAGTTCTCTAGACCTCTGATGTTAATTTTTAAGGAATGTTGGAAAACCAGGAAAATTCAAGGAACATAATTATTGAAAAGGGGTATTTCTTCTGGGGTTTCGCAGAGATCAATTACCTGGAAGTAAATATAAAATCTGTAGATAACAAAGACTAGAGGAATGGTAAATAGTGAGGAGGAGAGGGCTGTGATACACAGCCACTCAACCAGCTTGAGTGCCAACCAAATAACAGCTATAACCTGTTAGTAAACAGCTTGCTCAAAGCATGTGAATGCCAATCAAATTCCCAACTTTGTCAAAACAATTATAATATCTACAAGGGATTTTCCAACACCAGCTTTACAAATATTTGTTGCCAGAAAGCCCTGGGCAAAATTCTGCCCTCACACACAAACACAATTCCCAGCAAAAATAACAGGAGATGAACTTATGCCTCTGGTGGCAGCATTTGGAAATATACATGTACAATAGCAGCAAGAAAAAGCAACCGCCCCTTAACTCAGAAGACAGACATGGAACGATAGTGCCATAACAGGCAGTATTGTGTTTCCAAACTAGATAATGTTTAAATGGCTTAGCAGAGAGCATTGCCAATAAATCTAAGTGACTGTGCTGAATATAGAATATAATGGGTTGTACATTACCTAAGAGGTTTGCTAGAGACCGCATGTCTTTCTCCATCAGCTTGTATATTTCTTCTTCCGAGAAGCGGCCAATACCATGACCATACATTTCTCGTTTCACAATTCCTTTCGTTAGGTGGCACAGAATCCACTTCAGCAGGTCACTGAATGGGCCACTGCATGAAAGCATCTTCTGGGTCTCATGGAGATTGTCCACCCATTGGCAATAAGCTAATGTCCTAGAATGTGGTGAAAATAACTTACAACGGTGCCACACATTGACTCCACAACAAAGTAGCCCACAGAAGAGTTTGATGAACAGCTTCCATAACTCCTGAGGCCCTAAGGATTATTGGCCTGACAGAAAGCTAGCTGTGTGGTAAAGTACGCATCTGTGCCTGTGGCATAGCAACCAGAATACTAAACGTTGGCCCTCGTTCTGAAGTACTTGTTCACACAGTAAAGCACCTAGTCATGACAACAGTCCGACTGAGATTCATGAAATTAAGTGGCGAGGAGTCCTGTGGCACCTAATAGACTAACTGAAGTGTTGGAGCATAAGCTTTCATGGGCAAAGACTCACATGCATCTGACGAAGTGGGTCTTTGCCCACGAAAGCTTATGCTCCAACACTTCAGTTAGTCTATTAGGTGCCACAGGACTCCTCGCCACTTAATTTCATGAAATTAAGTGCTACTCAACAGACATAAGGGTTTGATTTGAGTCCTAGATTAGCACAGCAAAGTGATGTGCAAACTGAATCAGGAGTTAAACGCTATGATGCACATTTGACAAAGCTTTCCTGCCTATCCATTCCCTTTGGCTTATGCTTTATTTTTACTTTGTCTAAGTAGTGACTCTATGCACTGCAGAAGCCTGCCAACTGAATCATTTTGCTGCAATAATATAATCCTCATAATAGGTATTTGTTTCAGTGGCCCCCCGTTCTCCTCTCAGTTTTATTATGGCTTAAGCAGAAAATTAATTAATGTAAGAGATTTATTCTTTGTCATGTTGGGTTATTTTTCTTTTTTTGCATTTTATCCTCTTATGAAATGCTTTACACTGAATGAGATGATTTCGGCTTTGTCATGTTGGGTTATTTTATTTTTTTTTTTGCATTTTATCCTCTTATGACATGCTTTACACTGAATGAGATGATTTCGAAGCGGCTTTGCTGTACTGCAATGTATATGTTTGGTTAGATGGGAGATGTGTTCTCTTAAGAGGACTCTTTATTAAATTTGCTTCCCCAAGTCAAAATCTTCCAATTCTCACTGGAATTGCTGGTCTTTATTACTCTTCCAACAGGTTAAAGAAAAGTCTTTTTTTTCCCCCCATCAAGAAGCTTGTGAGAAAAGGAACAATTAATCTGGAAAGTGACAGTCATCGTAAGTACATATTGAACCATCAAGCACACCTGCTGCAGGTAACAGGATTATTGTCACCAACTTCAATGGGAGCAGGAGCAGGGGGGTTAAAAGTTATCCATCAGAGGAGGAGGTCAGAAGAGCACATGCAGCCTAGCGTGTTTGGGAAATACGGGTTGTTTATGGACAGGCTCTGTAAAGAAGCTAATGTATAAATTCTTAGTTTCTGGATGTTTTCTCTGCTGTACCATATCTTTAAGGTAATTTTCCTTTCATTTCATCTGGATTAACATTGACTATTCCAGCGGGGGACATATCAACTAAAACCATTTTTGAAGGCAGCTTTAATCTGGCCTCAGCCTATGAAGTATGTGGCATGTCCCTGTTCAAATCTCTCAGTGTCAGGTGAATGTGGGACTTGAACCAAAAGTCTCCCACATCCCAGGTGAGAATCCTAGCCACTGGGCTCAAAGTTATGAGAGAGGTCCTCCTTCCCCTAGCCTCTTGCAGAAGTGCTATAAGCATTTAACAGCAATAGAGCTCCCATTTCCTTACTGCCTAGACGTTGGTGCCTATCTTAGTGAGAAGGGTGGGGCCTGATACACATCCCTCCTGTCATCATCTCTTCGGGTGTCTCTACATTGCACTGTTATTTTGAGTTAATTAGCTTTATTTCAAAATAATGCAAGCATCTACAAAGCCATTATGTTATTTTGAAATAATGTCGAAATAATAGGTGGCTTATTCTGAAATCTGTAAGCCTCATTCTACGAGGAATAATGCCTATTACAAAATACCTATTTTGAAATAAGGTGTGTGTAGATGCTCCACTGCTGCTATTTGAAATAGCCCCTCAGCAGGGCCATTCTAAGTTATTCCGCCGCAGTGCCTCCTGGGCCTCTAAATCGAGACAGCATGTCTACATTAGGGAAGCCTGCCTTGGACTAATTTTGAGGCTTCCCTGCAGTACAGACGAGCTATTTCAAAATAAGCTATTTCAGAATAACTATTCCGAAATAGCTTTTTTCAAAACAACTGTGCAGCGTAGATGTACCCTTAGAGGCTAATCTAGGTGATTCCCTGCCTAGTCTGCTGGCTTTTGTGAATCACAGTCTAAGAGGCCAGTCTCTCCCCATCCAGTGTCTTGGATCCTGGGCACCTAACTCAGACTTTGTGATTCACAGTACGTTCCTATGATTTTCTAAGCATCTAAAAGGTAGGCACGGTGACATTCAGTGCCTCAACACCTATGCAATTTTGTGAACTCCAGCCCAGCTGCCCTCAACTGCCAATGAAGTCAAAAGTTCCGATCCTGAGACGTATCAGGCATATGCAATGCCTACTGAAGACACCTGGAGTTCCAGGTGCTCAGCATCCTTTCAACAGTTGGCCCAGTGAGAGTGGAATACCTCAGCAGGGGGCATTCAGCAACATACAAGATGAGGCTCTTTTAAAAAAAACAGCAAGAATAAGGCATCACGGAATGTACTCTTAAGCTATGCATGTCAAATAAGTGATAATTTTCATGATTTATGACAAGGCTCCCCAGAATATTCATAGGTGTTTTGTTGTACATATTTTTAATGCAATGAAATCACAATGGGAACCCTCGCTCTGCTTTTAAGTGCCTTACTCAACAAAACAGCTGATGTCACATCACAAGTAGGATCCTAGATGAGTCACAGTTGCTGTGTCTACTCTTAGATCTTTGCTGGTGAGTGGGAAGACTCATTTTTGTGAGTGTAAATGTGAGTATTAACAACACGAGATTTAGTGAGGTTTTATCACATATTACAGTTCATGAGGTATTAAATGACTTCACATCTCTCTACAAACCAAACAAAGAAAGAAAGAAATCCTTTGATTTGAACTTTAATTCTTGCTTCACTCAGCCAACAATACTGCACCCCATTACAGATAGCGGAAGAATAACAACAAAATTCTCTTAAACAAAGACAGTGCAAATATATTTTTTCAATTAATACAAAATATTGTACTCCTGTCACCTATTAATCCCAAAAGCTGGATTTTTCTTTCTCCCTTTTAGCAATAACACGTTTATTAAACAGTGTGAAATTTAGCCGATTATTAACCAGCCCAATCCTGCAGTTATTTTTCATAAGCCACTGAAGCAATATAGGTGAAAGGGCCACAGTATTGACTTGTTGTTACTCTCCTTTATAAACTTACAGATGGACAGAAGGCCCAGTTCTGAACTTCATTTGCAATGGTTTTACACTTTTCAATGGTATTTACTCCTGCTTCACACAGGCACAAGTAAGAACAGAATCAAACACCAACTCTCTCAGAGTGAAAATAGCACAGCTCATCTCCCAGTTGTTTGAAAAACAAAGCAAGCATTTATTTCCAAACAAACTGTGCAGCACATGTTTGATAAGCTCAAAACAGAAGTAGCTTTACCATGCAAGCTTACCAGTAGAAATGTTCCTCCACCATTTTTGTCACTGCTCTGGAAACAGCTCTTTCATGTGGACCAAGGTTTTTATTTAAGTTCACTCCGAGTTTCTCTTCCAAAAAGTCAATAATGAACTCAGTGCCAGACACTTTTTTGCGATTGTATTCAATCCAGGGCATTTTCCCTTGAGAGGAAAGTTTTCCATCAAAATAGTTCTAAGAAAAGAAGCAAGTAAACAAAAACAAAAAAAACAAACACACACACAAAAAACACCCTTCAGCTTCTGTTTGATCAATAAAAAGTTTTCTTTAAAAAGGTGCCAATACCCAAAAGCATAAAATCAGTATCCACCGTACAGTAACTATCAAGCTAGAGACAACCTTACTCTCAATGGAAATGAAAAATCAATTTCCAGCATAAGTAATTTCTAGCCAAAATAATGTGCCTGTCATTGTTTTTGTTTTGCTTTTAATTCCAAACAATGGGACCAAACATGAAAGGTGTTATGGACCTTTCCTGCCATATATAGTGTGAGTTAGTATTATTAATTAAAGGCCGATGGGGATAGAAGTCCATAGGCCTAATATTCTGGACAATTTTGTATCACAGACAAAACAACAATAATATTTGGTACTAGTGGCTCCGGACAGAATAACTAAGCAGGTGTTAAAAGTTTGTTCTAGAGTATATTTGGGCTTAGGCAGGTTCCCTGCCTGACCTGGCTCCATGCAGCCCCTGGAAGCAACCAGTATGTCCCTGAGACCCTCTCCGTGCAGAGGTGGCCAGGGCAGCTCTATACACTGCCCCAACTCTGAGTGCCAGCTCTGCAGCTCCTGTTGGCTGGGAAGCAAGAGCACCATTTATGGTGGGCTTAGGGGGCAGTAGCCCCTCCTTCCCAAGTTTGAACCCCCTGGACTTCATACTTGAGGTCTGCTTAAAGTTGCATGTCTTGACTCCGGAGGCAGTTCTTAAGTGCAACATAGTTTGAACTGCATGCAGCTTTGTCTTTGGGGCAGGGAGTTTGTTATAAAAAGAGGAAGGCAGAGGTATTAAGAATAACAAAAGGCTGAGCATTCCAGTAATTGAAGGATCATTAGATCATCATGAAAACATTGCCGGGTACCTCACTTAAAAGATAGGTGGGGGAAGAGTAGGAATGAGTGTTGTACTGCAGGGATCTGCATTTGGATTACTGTGTTAAACTTACAAATGTTCTTGAAAAAGGGGTGAACAGGAACTAATCCTGACTGCAAAGAGCTACAATGGGATTTCACGAAATTGGGTGATCAGGCAACACAAAGGCAGATGGAATTCAGTGTCGATAACTGCAAAGTAATGCATACGGAAAAATATAATCCTAACTGTAGATACAAAATAGTTGTTACCACTCAAGAAAGAGATCTTAGAATCATTGTGGATAGTTCCCTGAAAAAATCTGTTCAATTTGCAGTAACAGTTTAAAACCTAAAAAGCTAACAGAATATCAGGAATCATTAGGAAAGGAATATATAATAAGACAAAATACCATATTGCCTCTACATAAAGTGCTTGTATGCCCACATCTTGAATGCTGTATGCAGATCTAGTCAACCCACCTAAAAAAAGATATATTGTGTTTGGAAAAAGTAAAGAAAGGGCAACAGAAATTATTCGGGAGTAAGGAACAGCTTCCATATGAGGAGAGATTAACAAGACTGAAACTTTTCAGCTTGGAAAAGAAATGACTAAAGGGGGGATATGTTAAATGTCTAGAAAATCATGAATGATTTGGAAAAATAGAATAAGGAAATGTTATTTATTCCTTCACTAGCATAATACAAGAAGCTGACCCACTTAAATGTATAGGCGGCAGATTTAAAACAAACAAAATAAATTATTTTTCACAGTCAATTTGTGGAACTCTTTGCCAGGTGATGGTGAAAAGCACAAACTATAACAGGGTTCCAATAAGTACAAAATAAGTTCAAAGAAGATAGGTCCATCAATGGCTACTAGCCAGGATGGGCAGGGATGGTGTCCTTAGCTTCTCTTTGCCAGAAGCTGGGATTGGGTGAAAGGGGGATGCATCATGATGACTGCTTCTTCTGTGTATTCCTTCTGAAGCACTGGGCATTGGTCACAGTCAGAAAACAGGATACTGGGCTAGAAGGACCTTTGGTCTGGCCCAGTATGGCCATTCTGATGTTAAATAGAGCTGAAATATATCTGTCCCTTTGCTGTAACCCACTATACCTCACTTCCCTGAGATAGAGCCCAGGAGTCCTGATGGGGTCTCTCTCTCTCCACAGAGTTAGTAATGAGATAAGAATATACATGAAAATGTTAAGACTAACTGGTGTCCCTTAAGTGACTTGCCACAAGATGTCAGAATACGTTATGGTTAGAGCTGAATGGGTCTAATATTTATTTAATTTTTATGCTTTATATAGGAATTAGATACAGTGCTCCTGTCAGCTAACTACTAAGTTGTCTGCCAAAAAAGTAGAGTTTTCCAGTACCTTGGTAGCTCCTGGATAGAGATGATTCATGCGGGGGAGAAGAGGGCAGATGGGATTGGTGTCCCCCTCTCCCGATTTGGTGCTTGGCTTGTACTGAGAATGCTCAGTAACACTGTTGAAGTCTCTGTCCTAAGTCCGGCCTCCTCCTCCCCCCCCCACCTCCATGCTTTCACTTTCTCCTGTCCCCATCACAGCATTTACAGGTCACACGCCCACCCCAAAATCTGAAATGGTGTCCCTGCTGGTGTAGCAAAAATTTAAAATTTTAGTATTTGTATAAGAATATAATTTGTTTATAAATTCTGTATTCTTCTATTTCACCCTGTTTCTCATGATTAGACAATGCCTGCATTGCAAACTAAGCTGTGTTTTCTAGTAACTATGGAATCCTTTGTTTGGAATGGTCTTGCTCTGTAAATAGTTTCTTGTGAAGAATGTGTGTAAAAGTCATCAGAAAGGTCCATATGGTCAAAAAGACTTGAGATACTTGGAGATGATGAGAGAACATCCGTGGTGCCGGAGGCTGGATGAAGGCTGACAAAGTGAGCAGAATAGCCCAGCCTTGGAGACAGACAGACATTCCAAAGGTGAGACCACAAACAAGAGATAACGAACCCTGACCACAGACATCAAAGGATAACTGTGGGGAGACACCAAGATTAACATACCAAGGACTGGAGCATGACACTGCAAACCCCTTAGACTCAAATGGGAACTTACATATATAAAGTGGAAGGCTTTTGCCATTACACTCGGGTTCAGTCCTGCAAAGCAAAGCCTCGGAGGAGTCTCAGAGGAACCCCAGCTCCTCACTCAGGGTACATCTACACTGCAACACTATTCCAAAATAACTTAGTCTATGTCTACACAACAGTCAGTTATTTCAAAATAGTGTCTGTGGCAGCGCGTCGGGGTCCCCCACCTCCTGCACCCCCGTAGTGGCAAGAACAGACTCCACCAGCCAGTAGAATAGAGGGAGATTATTGCTTCTCCAGAATACAGCACAGCACAGATGTAATCTGGTTACAGGAACTGGGGGTAGGAGGCCTCAGTGCCCCCCCTTGAGACGGGGGGGTGGCTGAGCCCTACAATCCCAGCCCCCTCCCTAGCTCCTTCTCCCCTGCTTCCCAGACCTGCCCCCCAGCCAGCTGTTGGTCTCCGTCCTCCTTCCTTTGTCTCCCTCCCTGAGAGGCTGAGCCTGGGTGTCTGGGTTAATACACATTTAGGAGAGTCAGTGAGACTCTCCCATCACAGCGCAGGGGGACCCCGGGTCACAGAGCAGACAGCCCCCCCACTACATCACAATGTCAAAATACTGTCAAGCTGGAGGACTTCTTACTCCGACTCCTGTATCCCTCTTTGTACGAGGAGTAAGGGAAGTCAGAGGAAGAGTGCTCTCTTTCAAAATAAGTGCTGTGTAGCTGTGCTCTACTTTGAAATAAGATATACAATTGACATAGCTCAATTTGCATACCTTATTTTGTATTAAGACCTGCACTACAGATGCACCTTCAGTCATCCTTGCCAGCAAGATGGACTTGAGCCATGACAGACTGGTAGCTATGCACCATCTGCAGGACCTGTGTGTGTGTATATATGTGGGGGGGCTTGTGTTTATAAAGCATATTCTAGCTGCTTTGATATTGTATTCTTAATAAATGCAGCATCTTGCCTTTTCCCCTAGAAGGATCCCATGTGCTTCTTATAAGCATAACAGTGGGAACCATAGATAACGAGAGCTGTGGGTGCGGCTCATGTGGGAGAGGGCAGCGCATAGCATCACCAGGTTAACCCTACACTTATTGGCCGCAGAGACATATCAATCACTTCCAGGAGCTGCGTGAGGTGTCTCTCAGAGCCTACATCCCTCACTACATCATGCTTCCCACCCCCCGCCCCGCCTCAGGTGGGAACCCCTACAACAACCTAACTCCCTCCAAGAGTCCACACCCTGCACCCTCTACTGCACCCTAACCTTCTGCTCCAGCCCTTAGCTGGCTCCTGCAAGTCCCTGTGGTCCTCCCCAAAGCCTGCACCCCAACCTTCTGCCCCAGGTAGTGCTGCATCCCACACCCAAACTCCTTCCAAGAGCCCAAACCCACCAGCCCCTCCTTCATACTGAACCCCTTGGCTCCATCCTGGCACACTCTCTGGCTCACCAAACTCATCACTGATGTCATGTTATTGGATTTTAAGGGGAGCAGCCGGATCACTGCTGCGTCCATGGGGGAGGGAGAGCAGAGTGTTTGCCCCAAAGTCTGTACAAAGGGGGCTATGTGAGGTGTCAACTGAAAGCTTATGTCCTACTGATTCTATGTATGCTATTCATATACTTGTGTGATATTTGTATGTGGAGTTATGAAAATGGACTCTGTGCTGGTACTGAGGAGCTACGTCTACACTTGGATGATTTTCCAGAAATGCTTTTAATGGAAAAGTTTTCCGTTAAAAGCATTTTCGGAAAAGCACGTCTAGATTGGCAGGACGCTTTTCCGCAAAAGCACTTTTTGCGGAAAAGCGTCTGTGGCCAATCTAGACGTGCTTTTCCGCAAAAAAAGCCCCGATCGCCATTTTTGCGATCGGGGCTTTTATGTAGAAAACAGTACTGTGCTGTTTACACTGGCCCTCTTGCGCAAATCATTTGCGCAAGAGGGCTTTTGCCCAAACGGGAGCAGCACAGTATTTCCGCAAGAACACTGACGATCTTACATGAGATC